ACCTCACACTATTGTAATTTAGACCAAATGATGAGACACTCACTTCAACACAGAATATGCCAAGGAATGTCACAGATCAAGAAACTGGGTTGCATATTATTTAATTAAAAGTTATTAAATTAGAATTGCAGAAGAAACCAAGGAATGGACAGCTAGACCTTTGTTCTATGATTCATTCAAAAGATGTCATTAAGAGTATACAGCTTTATGGTCCCATAAATTGTATCCAAAATGGCAAAGGAGTGCTAGGCAAGTGTTTCAGTAATCTCACCTAAATCTGGATGCAAGTAATAGCAAGATAAAATAACCATAAATAGACAACACAGAGTCAGAACATAAAATAATCCACTTTTTATTTCAGTAATTATACTCAATTTTAGCAGAAACAGGATTCCTATATAGCATCTGGCCATAAAAGAACTGTATGTACAGCACAAGAAAATAACATCCTACAAAAAGTGACTCTGAAAAAAACAAAACACTTAAAATGCTGTCTCTCTTGAGAATTCAGAATTTATTTTCTTGCTTATATTTTCTATACAGTGTGGTGCAATTCAAAATATCTGTATTCTGGAGGCAAATGAAGCACAAATTAGGCTATATTTTCTATACAGTGTGGCGCAATTCAAAATAGCTGTATTCTGGAGGCAAATGAAGCACAAATTAGGAAGTCCAGCCACCAGCAAAATTAGGCAACAGTTAAGGAGGAAAGTCTCAACTGCTGTTTTAGACTTGATTGCACCAATCCTGCCAAAAAACCACATACCTTCTTTGTAGAATGCAGCATTATAATCTTGTAAAATACCAACAAAGAGACTATGCTTACTTGTATAGTTCTTTTTCCCTTATCTTCTTAGCAGATGATTGTTTTACTGCAGTGCCTTGGGTAAAGACAGTTGTTTAAAGCTGAGCTGTTGCCTGGATGCTTGCAAGGACATACAAATTATAACCATATTTACACCACTTCTGTTGTTACATTTATGATTTCTTGTCTAAGATGAGTACACTTGATTAACATCAGTGCACTTGATCCCATAAGATAGTAACAACAGACATCTTGTGTAAGTTTACAGACTTTGTAAAAGGCTAAGAGTGAATTTACATGATCCACTTTTCAAAGTTCCAGATTTTCATATCAAATGGCACCAGATCCTTGTCGCACAATTGCAAATTGTCTTGAACACAGTTTTACCCCCTGAAGTCCCTAATCCACACAATTTTAATGCAAAATACAAAAAGGTTTGAACATAGAATCATCAAGGTTGGAAGAGACCTCTAGTATCATTAAATCCAACTGTTAACCTGTCACTCCACTGTAACCTCTAAAACGTATCTTCCAGATTGACCTTCTATCATTCCATGTGTGTAGACCATTCTCTTAAACACTTCCAGGATAACAGAAGTAATGGTAATATGTCCAAACTAAAACACATGCATTCACTTTTGACAATCTTTCCACTGAAGAACAAAAATTTAAAGCTTTTAGATCACAGACCATTAATAAGTACTTCTCGGAAACATTAGGTTTATATGCAGTCTAGGCCACCTACTATCTGAATCTGTACTTTGAGAAACAGGGAGGCTGATCAATCTTGTTCCATAGGCAAAAAGACTATCTAGCCACAGCCCCTGCTGGGAAAGTCTCACATGCAGGAGAGCTTATGTTTCTGTAACTTCTTACCCTCCAGGACCCAGGTATGTGGTATGGTCATGTCAAGGACAGGATCTATAAAACAAAACAGATGAAGTAATGGAGCTGTGGAGAAGTAACCTAAAGGCTCAAAGGCTTTTAGATGTAACTGGGACATTTCTTGCAAATAGAAGAGTGATGGGACACAGCAAAGGTAAGCATACCTGCACTGGACTAGCCCAGTGACTTCAACTAGTGAGGGAAGATGCAGCTTCCAGTGCTGGACCAGTATTTCTAAACTGGCAGAGGAACTTTGTGGCTATTAGGACTGTATTCTGAGGAAATGTAAGGAAGTCAGTGTTATGGCCATGTGTGGATACAGGGCTCAATTATTTTTATATCAGCAAAAATTGTGATGGTGAAATTGAAAAAAACTCAATCAGAACTGTGAGGTTACATTAATTTATTCATACACACTAGCAACACTTATTTCAGTATGTGTCTCCACACCACAGATGCCCAGAAAAACTTTCTGATTAATTTAAGAAGGATCATTTCACATTCATAAAGTGTCAGAGTGTCCTGCTGGCCTTTTAGCAGCATGCTTTTAGCTGATAATTCCATAACCATCCAGCTGCTCTATCCCACAGCGGTAAAAGCAAGTAGAACAATTCTGTCCAATTGCACAGACACGAAACAACCTGACTCAAGTGCCTCTTCACAAGGCATTAGCATCACCTAACCTTATTGCTATCTAAGATTAAAAAAGATATTAAACTTATTTTTCAAATAGTTCAGTGCAAATCAAAGACATGGTAAAAATCATAATATGATCAACTGCAATCTTCTAGATGATTCTGTTTGGACCACTAGAAACCATGACAAGACATGGTAAAAATCATAATGTGATCAACTGCAATCTTCTAGATTATTCTGTTTGGACCACTAGAAACCATGACTGTACTTCATGAAAAAGTAACCAAAACAAACACTTTTGGTTTTGTAACCTTTCTAATTAGATATAGTCTTGAAGAACATCATATTCCTGCAAGCAACCCGAATGCAATTTTCTAATTTGACAAAATTGGTTTGCCCTCTACTTACATGCAAGCACAATATGATAAATAATAAATCATTAACGCTTTTAAAACTCTTCCCAATGAAAGAAAAATTCTGGTTTGAGACACTGTTTCCATACAGAAATAACTAATTGCTAATATGGAATTAACTCCTTTATCCCCAGAAATCTACATCTGAAATTTCTCTATTCATCTCACCCCTTTATCTGCAGTTCATTTCATTGTCCTAGCAGAAGAAGTTGGCAATATAAACTGGCTGGCAAAGCTGCAATTGATGGAGTCTAGTGACTGGTGAGGATTGGCAAAGGCTGGACCAGTTAATAGCCAGTCAGCAATGCAACTGAGTACTCTCCTGCTCCTTGTACTCTGAATAGGCCTCTTTATTCTGCAGACTGCTAAAACAAGCTTTCAGCTTGGCAACACCTTCTAGTTACCTCAGTTCCTAAGCACCTTCATGCACTTGCCCATTTGGGACTACAGTACACTTCAGGAAGAACCCAGTAAGATGTTGTCAGCTGAACCAGTAAAAAATATCCCATCCCAATAACCAATACCATTACATAACCACATCCACTGAATAGCCTTTTCTGGCCTCTGTGGAGTGCCAATTATTTATTGCAAGTCGAATTTCATTTAACAAAACCAGTCTGGAATACATGACTTAAAATTTGCATATGAAATATTCTGTATTTCTTTTAACTTTAGATTTGAAGATACTAAGCATCTAATTTAACCCCTGTGGAGTCTGCAGGGAAGAGTCATTGCTTCACTGATTTGTAGTTTTGGAGGAAAAAAAGTAAACCACCAAAAATTATGATTAGCATGGAGGATGAGACTCACTGAAATGGAAACGAAAAATATTCATCAAAACCGGAAGAAGTGGGAAAGTTTAACAGCATATTTGAACTGAGAATTATCTACAGCAAAACTCCAAAAGCTCGTATAATAATTATAAAACTCATCCTCTCTTTAAACCATTTATCTTTGCAATAAGGCATGGGTTCAATGATTACACTACAAGTAGATTCTCCTTTAGTCAGAATCCAGAGTGGAGCCCAGTTGTACACCGCCCCAAATTCTCTGATGATCTACCTTTAAATGTAGGACAGACATTAACTCTTTTTAGTTGTGAAAAAAATCATTCCGTTCAGTATGTTTTCTTAAATACAAATGGACCATATTGCATCTCTGACTTCTAGAAAGAACAGTGAAAGGTAATGGCATAAAACAGGATTTCTTTTGAAAAAGAATACAAGACTCTAAAGGTCCACTCAAGATCAACAGATTTCCAGAAATTTTAACTCCCTGCAAGGCATTAAAATATTCTGTCATTAGCTGTTATGATGTTTGAAAAAAGAGTAAATAGTTTTCTTTTTTGTTTGTGTTTCCCCCCATGACTTAATGTCTAGTACAGAAGAGATGTAAATGCCAAGTCTAGGAAAACTGAACTGCTGTTTGGCTCATATCTATTGTTGAGGGAAAAAATAAAAAATTTGTTGTTAAAAACCCCAAATCCTATATTACATATAGGAAGCTTTAATTAACAGACATTAGAAGTGAAAAGAATATGAAATTCCAATTACATACAGGAAGCTTTACTTAACAGAGATTAGAAGTGAAAAGAATATGAAATTCCCCGTCTCAAACTAGTTTTGCATAGATGTAGTTCCAAGACTACTAAGATTCAGACCTTTTCTGCAGTTGTACAAACACCTGCACCATATAGTAACAGCATAAGGATTTGTACCAGTTCTCTTGGCTTTATTCATCCATCTGAGAATAAAATAATTATTTTTGTACTGGCCTTATTCATCTATCTGAGAATAAAATAATTATTTTTGTAAGAGAAAAAGTAGTATCGTAATTTAAGCTTCAGCATAAATGAAGCATGGAAACATACTTTTATATACTAATAAACAACATTATTGGAGACCTGCTTTCTGTTCCTGGCACAGATAATTATTGAAGTGTAAGAACCACAGGCAAGGAGATGCAAAAAACCATGCGGCCACATGGGGCTTAGGCTATTCACTCAGAATTCCTACAGTAAGGAAGTATGTGGCTTCCTTAAGATTCTAATAAAGCATCCATTTTGAAAAGGGGAAAAATCAGGTTGTTAGTTTAAATAAGGAAAAACACGTTTCATTTACACATCTGCACTTATTCCCATACTTTGAATTACACAGAGCAACAGTACAAAAACTTGGTCAATTTTCTTCTTCTTATAAGCTTTCTTGTCTTGAATATGAACTCTTACAGTACAAAAACTTTGTCAATTTTCTTCTTCTTACAAGCTTTCTTGTCTTGAATATGAACTCTGTTTCACTGGACTCTCCAGCTTTGAACAAAAATTGTCCCAATATGCAGAATCCTCAGGTGTGACTGGAATACCAGATGCGACTAAATCTTCAAAAGTCAATAATGTAAACTGTGGTTCGTTAGGCTCCATGGAATCTACCTAAAGAAAACACATATTAGCATAATATGAATCAATAAAAATCAATTTTATTACTGTAAAATTCCATGAGCAGCTTAAACTACACATTGCTCACCGAAGAAGAAAGAAAATATTCTACATTTGAGACTAATGTCACTGTTCCTAATTTAGGCTATGCAGTAACTAACAGAAGTATCTGACAGGCCACACAGAAAAATCAAGTTTTTCTTTAAAAGAGTTCACAAAACTGACAGAACAAGGGATAGAGAATGCTGCAAATATGACAGAATGAGTGTCTTAAATCCAGTAAACAAAGAAAAAGACCACCACCAAACAAACTGTACTTCATTCTCCAGCAGACGTGATTATTTGAGACAATTGTGTGAGGATTCATTCCACTCGTGGTGCACCTAGTTGTATTCTTTTTAATACCAGTAATCACTGTGGTTGTACATACTTCTCTTAAATGCTACTTAAGAACAAAAGTGGTCACAATCAACCTGCAATTCCCCATTTCAAATCCAGATTAAATGCAGATGAAGATATTGGAGATGAGAGTGTCATGGTCTCCATGTCAGTTTCATCACTCCAAGAGAAATCAATCTCATTTCAAAGAAAAAAAGGTGGTTTGTTGGGTTTTTTTGAGCACATATTACTATGCATCCTGCTGTACGCTATCTCCGAGTGTAACTGATTGCAGACAGCAGGGCAAATAGTACAGCTTGTATGAATCGAACAAATACAGCTGATCCTTCTAAACTGGCATTTGCTCAAGTGACATATTCTTTATGCTTAATGTTTGATAAAATTCAGTCAGGCTCCTCTGCAGTGGGATTACTCTGTACAACACACAAACTGACTCATTTTTGATGCACATTAAGCCTGTCAAGGTCTCTCTGGTTGACAGCACAACCCTCTGGTACATCAGCCACTCTTCCCAGTATGGTGTCACCAGCAAACCTGCTGAGAGCACACTGCACCATCATCCAGTCCATTAATGATGCTAAACAGGACTGGACTCAGTATTGAACCCTGAGGTACATCACTAGTTACTGGCCTCCAATCAGACTTTGTATTATTACCACACTCTGGGCCCAACTGTTCAGCCAGTTTTCAACACACCTCACTGTCTGCTTCTTCAGGACATATGTCACCATTTTCTCCAGTAGGATGTTATAAGAGACAGTGCCAGAGGTAGAAGATAGTGAAACTTAGGTAGACAATATCCACTGCTCTTTC